AAAGAAACGTTTAACATCATTTCATCTGTCAAATAGTGATCGACTGATATCAACCAAACTGCAGAAAAAAAGAGTATTAAATAGAATCCTTCCAAAAAGGAGTCGATTTTTGCTGCTGTTCTGGACATATTTTGAAAATTTTATACTGAAAGGAGAAAAACTGCTACCAGAAATATGTTTAAAAATGTTTTCACTACTTTCCCCTACCATTCTGATCGCTAAATCTTTTCTGCTCAAATTAAAATTCAACTTTTATCCGGCCAACGTTCACGTACTAACACAAAACTTTAAAAAATAGAAAGCTGAAAAAGTATCACGTCAACTTTTTGATTTTAAACCCCCTCTCTTTTTGTTTGTTTGTTTGTTTGTTTTTTTTTGCCGTCATCTTGACGGACCTTTGCCTAAGCAAGAATACAAACATTTTGAACCTAATTCTGCTAGCAGACGGGCACACTAAACTTTCCTTTACTTTGTTACCGTTCCTTCAAAACTACTGTCCAAATCTCTCATTTAAAAAAAAAAACAAACATGACGTCATCACCGTCTGAAATGAATCACTACCAATCAACATGGCCAACATAATATAGCAACAGTTCATGCATGACTTGTTGTGCAGGAAACATCGAAAATTCCTCGTACGGAGCTACTATATGTGCAGAACGTAGCGCAGTAGTTCGAGCACTGGCTGAAGGGCATCGTGAGTTCAAAGCTATTGCTGTGGCTACAGAACTTAAAGAACCAGCTTCACCGTGTGGTATCTGCCGTCAGGTTCTCGTTGAATTCGGCGACTTTAAGGTAAACCCATCTTCCTGCTTTCAAAATTGAGAACTTCACTCTCTTTCATCACCTGCCACTTCTAAACGTGATAAATCCCGTAAAAAAATCAAGTTTTTTAAGTTTTACATCAAACTATTATACTCGGTCATTTGATATATAACCTCAATGGACCCAAACTTTAGACCCGTAACATCCTGGTACCAAATGCCCGCGGGGCAGAGAATTAAAAATATGACCAGATCTATTAAACTTCTAGATAAATCATTTGACATCCTTCAGGTAATAATGGGATCATCAAAGTCAGACAAAAAAATAATTACCACAACCTATGGCTTACTTCCTTATGCATTTACTCAAAAATCACTTGACGATTTTGCTGCACAGACGAAAGCATGATGCGTTGGATGTCCCATGCCGTTGCGTAATGGTGTTGCTTCCAGTAGTCAAAGTGAATTTAATATGGTTGATTGGAATCAAAAAAATTTCTTGTAAACCAATAAAAAATCGAATGCACATACTTTCCCAACGAAAGCTTCAAACACATAAAAAAATTGAAAGCCCTAATATACAAGTTATCTGACAATGAGAAAACTTATTTTGGTAGTACACATAACTAAGAACCTTGTGATGTTTTGTTGAAAAATAAAAAAACTGTAAATTTAAAAAAGAGTAAAATGAAAACACTGAACACCACATCCACTAATTTTCAAAAAAAGGAAGTCTAAACTGTAAAAAATCCTAAAACGACAAATTCTAAAGACCTGCGGTAAAATAACCACTTGCCACTATAAATATTACGGTCTGCCATCACTTTACAATTTCCTCTTAACACCTCGCAGAAGAGCAAGCTGTGAAATTTCACTAGTCATCCCCAGCAAAAAAAAA